CTGCATGAAAAATTGCATGTTAATTACGTTTTGTGGGTGTAACAGAATTTCTTACCTGAACACATTTTTTGCTGGAAGTACTGCAAATGGCATATTCAGGTACAATTTGTCAAGGCATAAAGTTGCTTGATATTTGGCAATTAAGTGTGTTGCATTTAAAACAAGTTTTCTAATCATCACACCATTAGCTCAGTACTTAGCGGTGGAGCTGAACTCCAGCCCGCGTTTTTGTTTTAATGACCATGCTTCTGCATATTTGTCAAAAGACCTGTGTTGTAGGAAGGAGCGGAAAACAGTGTATAATAGGTCACAGTAGTGCAGGTGGAGGATCAAGGAAATACAGACAGGGAAGTCCTGTGAGAGCTGGTTCTGGGAGACTGGAAGTCAGTGGAACGATGTCCATTTATACCACCTGAGCATATACCTCCTTGTGGTTCCCTGGAAGAGTTTCCTCTTAAATTCTTCCTTCAGGAGTTAACTTCCTGTGGAAGAAGTGGGGGACTGGCTAAAAGAGAGACTGTGGCCTGCAGAGCTACGTCGCCAATGACTGGCAATGGCGCAGCCCACAGCAATGTTGGGCCTAGAGTCTGAAATAAAAGTGGCCAGGAGTAACTGATAGGTCAAGATTCATTTGCAGGTTTAAAATCTGTTAATCAATATGTGGTGGCTGGTGGCCATTAAACTCAGAACTCATGCTGACATAATTATTTCTCAGCATCTACATGGTGGCAAACTGCCCCCAGAGAGAGATTTATATAATTGATTTCATGGGCCCATTGTGATCATCTAGTCTGAATTCCTCCAGGCCATAGGACTTCCCTGTATTAGTTCCTGCTTCAAGTCCAATAGCACTGGTTAAACTACATCTCTCTAAGAAAACCATCCAGTCGGATTTTAAAAACTGCCACTAATGGCGAATCCACCACAATGGAGGTTCCAAAGTTGTTACAATGAGGAATTATTCTTACTACTATTAACAATTTGCACCTTATTTCCTGTCTGAATTGCTCTAACTCCAACCTACAGCCAGCGGATCTTGTTATACCTTTTTCCTGGCAGACTGAAGAGAGTGCTCATGAAATTTCTGTTCCACATGTAGGTACTTATAGACTATCAAGTCACCCCCTAAGCTTTCTCTCTGATAAGGAGCTGAGTCTATTTAGCGTAAGTCTTTCACTGTAAGGAATGTTTTTTTTTTTCAGTCCTTGACTCATTCTCATGGCTCTTCTCTGAACCCTCTCCAATTTATCAACATCCTTCTTCAACTGGGGACTCAGTATTCCAGCAGCAGTCGCACCACTGCCAAATACAGAGGTAGCATTACTATTACTTTCTACTCTTACTCAAGAATTCCCATTCATACATCCAAGGATTGCATTAGCCCTTTGGCCACACTGGGAACTCATGTTCAGCTAATTATCTACCATGATGCCCATGTCTTTTTCAGTGGCACTGCTTCCCAGAATAGAGTTGGCCACCCTTTTAGGATGGCCTACATTCTTTGCTCCTTTGTATTCTTTGTATGGCCTTATACTTAGCCAGACTGAAATGTATATTGTTTGCCTGTGCTCAGTTTACCAAGCAATCCATACTGTTCTCTATCAGCGATCTGTCCTCTTAATTATCTACCACTCACCTAATCTTTGTGTCATCTGCAAACTTTATCAGTAATTATTATATGTTTGTTTCCAAGTCATGGATTAAAAATGTTAGCATCGGGCCAAAAACCGATCCTTGTGGACCCCCATAGCTGCTCAATGATCATTTCCAGTTTTCAATTAAATGTTGAGACCTATCATTTTAACCACTTTTTAATCAATTAATGATTGACTGCGGGGTTCGGCGGCATGGCACTCGGCGGGGGGCTGGAAGGTTCAGTG